GGGTTTTATTTTTCCTGTAAAAAGGGAAATTATCCCCCTTTACTATATATTAGATGAGGGTTGTTATCAAATTAAAAACCAATTATTTTTTCTTGAAGAAATCTTTTAATTTTGCATTAAAGTCATCTGTTTTGTGCAGGGTTTATATTTATTTTAGTTTTTGATAAAATCTTTTATTGGAATCCTCTATACTTCTTTTAAAAGTTATGAAATCTTAAAGTAGAGGTGTAACCACAGGCACATAAATTTGCGAGGACATTTAAAACATTCTAGTCGGAAGTCAATTATGCTGAAAATGAGACGGCTAAACAAATAGAACAATGCGATCCATTTGCTAACATAATGTGACAAGTTTGATAAAGAGATGTTTATTTCCTCCAGATATGTCTATTTCATACTGTCCATGTTCATTAGATCTTAATCGGACATAAATGTATATAATTTTCCCTCACCTATATAAAAGATCGAACTGATATTTCGTGACTTTTCGCCAATATAAACGATATGACGTCTTTCGAATAATTTTCAATTCGTTTCGCCTGGTCGTAAATGTAAGCGAACGTAATGTAGTCAGATTCACACATTTTCATTTTATTTGTCACAAAACTTTGACATTTTCCCTTTATTTGCATTTATATTATGTTATTGCAATTGACTAGGGCTCATATAGATTCATGTTTGGTCCGTTATGGAGTTCATAATTACTTTTTTTCTCAATAAAACTCGAGTGTGTGATAAACCGCGTGAGCATTAGTTAATTCTGAATTAACAACTGTATTCGTTATTCTTAATATGGTTACTCCTGAATACAGCATAAAAAGTTACGGTGATTTAATAGGAAAAAGGTAGTTTAATCATATAGGTTTTAGATAAATCCTATGCACTCGTAAATGGAAATTCCTTTCGCTCGTGGTCGATTGAATTTTATGCCAGAAAATTGTTCGTGGGAAATTGTATTAGAAACGGAAAGTGTTTTCTGTTATGCATTAAGTTAAACACGCTTACTAAGAATCGTCTTTTGTGATGTTTACCATAAAAAGTAAAATTCATTAAATTCACTTTTCATGTGGTACAAAACTCATTAAAAAAATGAAAATAACACTTTAAAAGAATTGTATGCGCTTTTCTAGATTTACAACCTCAACGATGACTAGGGAATAGAAATGTGGTCAAACTGGTCTTTTTCCGACCGGCAGTAAAACCCTTGCCATAGATGGGAGCCCGTTTTGGTTGTGCGGGATGTATAAATTTGCAGTCACATCCGGTCAGAATAAGGACGTTAAATCTGATGCCTTGCTTAGAGAAAGTGCCACGCTCTCTGCACGTAAAGAACCCTTGTAACAATTCTTTGAGGGGTTCGTATGTGGCCTGTTGCAAGGCTAATATAATGCCCCTGTCCAATATCTATCCTAATTTTCCAGTGACAGTCCGAATTTCCCGCCCTTTATTCCGGTCGACCCTTATTACTGGCCCTATCTATTGTATTTATTGTTGATTTGTTCTTGTCCTGAAAATGCATGAAATATTTCCAACTGGACGTTAAGCCACCAACATTAAATCAATCTAAATTTACAGAGTTGTCTCATATCAAAAGTGGAGATAGGTAAGAAACGTGGAAGCGTACATTCCCTACAAATACGTATCAAAGACAAGTTCAATACTTCTTTTGGAAACATATGTGTCTCCTGTTTTAAAAGTCAATATGCAGTATACAAATTACATATTATTATATATGTCTTATGTTATTGGTCCTTATAGTTGGGACAGATAGTGTACGTCATTTTGGTATATAAGGTCATCTTTGTAAAACCAAGGATTTGTAAAGTAAGACTTACTATACAAATCCTTGGTAAAATATAGATAATATAACAGTTATAATGGTTGTAAAAATTCTTTTACAGTTTTTAAGTTTTTTTTACATCAAAAGATTGAAGTGAAGTTCAACAACTAGTAATAATAAAAAAATGTCTAAACCACTTGACCGTTCGTCAATTGTTACGTCGGGAAATTCACTTCAAATCCCACTTTATACATCCGCCTAAAATAATTGTTGTTTAAATCCTTAAAATAATTATTATGCAAATTTAATCTTGTTTGTCAATAAGTTTAGTAACAAGACTACACGTTACATATATATCCGTGTGATTGTTTGTACAATGTTGAATATATGCTCACCTACATTTAATATGTACCAATTTTAATGTACAGAATCAAAACAATTATGTCTGTAAGTCTGATACTATTTATCAGCCCAGTGATTTTTTTTAAGTATTACGTTTTGTACGTAGAGCTACGGGTCTTTTGTAACACTTCCTACTTGTGTGTTTGTGCATGTTTAAGAACACACTGCACTTATGTGTTTGTACATGTATAAATACACACCCACATACAGCTTTCTTCCTTTCATTTGAAAAAAAATACTACAATTTCAATTATGATTGGACTCATGGGTAAGGATCGCAGATGCACATGTCGTATAAATTTATTTTTAAGGCAAATTAAGTTTAAAACTTAACGTCCAGGTACTGTAATCTATTTTTTACAATTACTTTTTTATTAATAAATTCAGGTTTATTGAGCAGAGGTTCCTTAAAGACTTGCAAAATTCAAATATTCATGTTTTTTTTCTCAAAATTTCAGACTTAAAAACTGCGAGATGTTAAAAGTTTGAAAAATTATGAAAAGTTGATTTAACACTATGTCGTAATAAACACCCACGGAAACGTGTGTCCTTTTCTCTTTGTCTTCACATGTGCGAAATATTTTACTATAGAATATTTCATTTGTATACATGTACATGTATTCAGATGTCACTTCAGGCAACTACAAGCACTTGAAATAGGCGTTTCTTATTGTATGTGTAATTGGTATGAAAAGGTTTTAAACATCATGCTGCTATGCATACAGTTCAAAAAGTATGACTGATCTCCTGAAGAACATTAAATTGCACCTTTTATCGTAAATTTGTAAATTTATAAAGCCAATTCATCATCTTTTTATAGTATTAATGAAAAATTTTGAGAAGTGACAAATGTGCAGCACATAGCATCTTAATATATCCAAATGAATATTAGAGGCAATTTGTACAAGACATGTGCAACTGCATTACAATGATTGATCAGAGTATGTGCTTGTTTTAGTGATTGGTCCAATGTGCTGTGTATACTTTAGAAGTTTCTACAACTTCGTCAATAATATAAATCTATTAGTTATATATTTGGTTAGGGTCAGATAAGAGATGAATAAAGGTCAGTCAATTAAGAGACATTAACCAATCCTCAGTCATCACATACGACGTTGACCAACACATGTTACATCTCTAATTTTAACACGACTAATAGGACTGGTATCCCATACTGAGCAGGAACCGGAGTATTTTGAATTAACAACGGTTTCTAGTTGGATTCGTCTTGCTCATTCTTTAGCCTACAATACGTTGATTTGCATACTGTTATTTGTCTTTTTGGCACCGAGTTCTTTTCTCCTGAAAATTTTAACTGACCCCTTTGTACCTTTTTATTGTTCCGATAAACTTTATTTCAGGGCCTAATTGCTGTTTGATTAGGGTTCCTTCCCAATACGACGAAGATATAGTTAAATGCTAATCGACAGGACGATGTACTACTGTATGTTCGCTGTACAGTTTAGTCTTTGGAAGTATAGCATACTTGAAGAATATCCAGCAATTAATTATAAAGAAAAACAACTGCGATAAAAGTGTTGGCTTGATATATTGCAATTGCCAAATATTTCCCGAGATTGTATCAGGAACACATAATATCCTTTCTTATCCAATTAAATACAATTTGTAGCATGGTTTTAGTTCATGGCTCTGGGTTAAGTTAAATATTTCATAAATAACAAAACAAGGTTAACATGTTGCATGTTCTGTTAGAGGTTTTGACCAGGATATATATATATAAAATAAAAGATACTACCGTCGGAAAAAAAGAGGGACTAAGGAATAGAATTTAACAACACATACGAATCCGAAACCGAGTTTTGAGATTGTTCATTCCATCTGGCTCACAATCATGTATAACTGCCTTTAACACAGGCTAGTCGGTTATGTATACGAGAAGAATGCGTTTTGAATGCTCCTGTGTTTTTATAGGACCAAAGATTTAAGAGTTAGGAGCTGGTATTCTAATGTCACAGCAGTTGTATAAGACTCAAAAAGTCAATAATGGAAGATATTTAAACAGTTAAAGTTTGATGGTTAATAATTTGGGAAAGGAAAAAAGGGGGGGGGGGGGGGTGGGGGTAAACAATGCTTTAATAAAATACTCGTGTGTACTTGTACATCAATCGATTTTATTATGTATTTCAATAAAAGCTGTAAACGACTAAGTTATATCTATTTATCTCTTCCTCATAGTTTAACGTATATAACGATAGATTGAATTATAATACTATAGGTTTGACAACGGCTTTAAAATAAAATTATGCACTTATATATTTCATCATCTTAGGAAAATGTTTTATAAACCTTTAAATGAGATAAGCCCATTTCCAACCCAAAAGATTTTCAAATCATATTGTTAAGACATTTACACTTCAATTACTGTTATTATCCAAATACACATAGCTTGAAAGAAATCTTTTAAAAGTGCATTATACAAACTAAACATCAAATATGATATCATATTTCTAACTCTTCTATTACTCCGTTTATTTACCCTCCAAAGAACATATTAAAAGATTTAAATCAATATTTGATTTAGGTTCTAGGTAAATATGATATTTAGTATGAATAATACACCTGCGTTTCTTGTTTCATGAAAACTACGAAATTTCACTTTCTTTTTAGACAACATAGCAATATTTTAAATAAAACACAGAAATCATTCTTAAAATAAACACGGACATATTGATGTTAATTTTCACATGAATATTTTATGTTTCAATCTTGTCAATGAGAAAATACAATGCAACCGTAAAAAATAAACATTCTCTATAAAAAATCGATGCAAAGTTAAAAATGGAAAAACTCTACTCACCTGTAATTACGACTAAGGTATGATAGTTGTAAAGTAACTGATTAAATCCCATAGCAAAATGTCCCTTGGTTGCAAGAAGTTTTTAATGCCCCATGTCCGAGTACATGTTAGTCCGAAATTGCCTCCTTGTAACACACCTGGAATTTTAATAGCTTTTAATATCTTTTACAGATAACTGCGTTTACCTACAGTATATATTTGTTGTACGGACACGGTCGAGAGCCTCAGAACATAACGAACTTTTGAAATGATTTAAACATTCATCGGTCGTTCTAAATTCATATGCAGATCTACACTGTATTAAAAAGCTAATGGTACACAAAGTACAATATTTTCCCCATTCAGACCGGATTCGCTTCTTAAGATAGGCGGAAATTGTTGTTGTAATTAGCTTTCGCTTCACAAGACATACATAATGATATATTACAAATTTTTCAAAGTTTGTTGATGGAAAACCGTTAGCACATTGTCTGGTTTTTAACGTTTTTATCCAATAAGCTTCATTCACAATGCTTTTCCTATTTTTTCCACACTGATTATTGAGTAATGTCCAATGATACGGATAATCCTAGCTTCGTTTTGTTTGCATTAGAGATCAAAATCATTAAACATTTATTCATAATATTTTTGCTTTTAAATATCATTTATTTGAGATACGCCAAAAGAAGCAGCTTTCTGGAAATATCCGTATACGTTTTATGATGAAGAAAGAAATTACAATCCATATGAGTAGATTGGCCATGAAGAAAATGATTAGCATACTCTAATTACACATTTCTTTATCGACAACCCGGGTAATTCCTAATTTCAGGTTTTATTGTCAGAATCGATTGATAAAATTACAACTTTTATAAATCAAATATTATTTGTTTTTATGTATAACAATGTGTTAAGACATCTTTCAATTAATTACAGGCGTGATATGTACAATATACATGTACCAAGTTGCGGTGAAGACAGATAGGTTACTACAAAGAGGGAAAAAAGATACCGAAAAGAAATATATTATTAAACGAAAAAGATGAAATCGGAAGCTTATTTACGTATACCCCGACTTTCTTTTAATTCATATATAACAATAACAAATAAAACAAACAAACAAACAAACAAAACAAAAAAAACCAAACAATCTATTTGAATTTTTCGGATAACAAATATCATTGAACAGTAATTACGAAATTGTCAATAATCGTTAGGAATTCTGTTCATAACTAATAGATTGAAGAGGACTATATAAGCATTTAAGTAAGTTAGCCAGTTTATTTCAATCAAATTGAATGACTTACTAGAAAAGATAACACAAAAAAAACAAAGCTCAAGGTATATTTTAAAATTTGTTAAATGTCAATTAAAAAAATATGCGATTGAGTGCCACACAGTCTTTACTATAAACAAGCACCTTCAATACCTCTCATCTACATTAAAGTCATCTTCTCAATTTAAGTAACAAGGAATATGTGGTAAGACAACCCCTGGTCGTGCATTTACATTGTATAAACCCACTGTGGCTGCGTATCTATACATCCAGGATATCTTTGGTTAGTTCAAAAACCGGCGAATTAACTTTTTACTAATGTCCAATGGGGTATCAATGTTTTCTTTTTTATTTTCTAATCTAAACCTCTTTCCCGAGAGGTGTTCGCTCTACCCAGGACCAAGCCATGTCGTTATTAATGGAAGTTACTTTGTCGATATCTCCGTTAGTGAGATCAATTTAGCTATTTCGAGTGACGATTCAGGGGAAGGTCAGACAGAATTACAACCAGTGATTTTGGATGGGCATTAATGAAAGGGCTGTTCTAACTCACGACATACCACATCTACAATATTATTGGAGAAACATGTAGTTTATCAGCTATTTTAAAGATTATGATAGAAGTCTTTTCGGTTGAAATTATTGGTATGGTGTATGTAGTTTTGGGTGTATTTTTTTTTTTTTTTTTTTTTTTTGGCAATAACTTATTCGGCCAACATCTGTTTTATAAAGTGAGTAATAAAAGCTTACCTTCGGACGCACCAAAATTATAAACTGTTTTCATTTTCAAACACTGGGTCGATACCGCTGCTGGTGGACTGCAGGTCTCCGAGAGTATCGGGTCAGTAGTCACTGCTACGGTACTGACCCGATTTATAACATACCTTTATTCAATACATTCTTTATAAATTTATGAATTATAAAGAAACTAAGGTTCCTACTTTTTTACACCTTAGATAGAATTGGCTATTCTTTTTATGTCCCTTTTGGTTATGTGCGTATTCAAGCAGTTGTACATCCTTGGCTTTAAACACTTAGAGCATTCTTGTTGAAGGTAAAACCAGAATAGCGCTTCGGAGGCATGAAATAAATAAAGTGTAATTTTCATATATTTTGGCTAAAAATTGTCTTTTTGTATTCAATTTCCTGTAAAGCATAAACTTCAACTACAACATTCAGCAAATTTCTTTTATATTTATATATGATGTTCTTATATAGAGCACGTGTTTGAATCTTATCTTCCTAGGCTTACAATGTCATTACTAACTTTTGACCCAGAACAAACCTTTTAGTCTTACACCGTAGTCGTGGAATAATACGGTATCACAAATTAGTTGATGTTATTTTTTTTACATGTCTGCCATTTGTGTAATATAAACAAAATATCAAATATGTTAATTCTTTTTCAATGACAACTCCCCACCAGAGACTAAATACCATACTTAACATTTCATTAAAAAAATTAAAGGGGTGGTGGGGGGAAACAGTAAAATAATCATAAGTCCGCAATACAGACGAACACACATAGAAAAGACAAACATCAGTCCAGAAATCATTTATACTACTGCAGGTGCGGATTTAGACGACAGCGCACCTGGAGCGCACTTCTCTGAAAAAAAAAAATAAAGGTAAAATAACAGCCAATTTTGTGTCAATATAAGGTCTGCTGATTCCTGATACACATGTGCGCCTTTTCCCTAAATATCAAATCCTGAATCCGTATCCGATCTACTTTTACAATGAACGCAATGTTTTGCTCTTGAAATATATTATCATCGGCTGACGTCAATGTCTGATATGGGAGTCTTAGGATGATGTCGATAATGATTTAACTAGAACTTTGAGTGAACTCATTAAAGGATACCACCTCACCCCTGCCCAGCAATATTATTAGTATATTGAATTCTTTAAAATTGATTATCTTCCCTTAAACATGTCTTCAGGTTGTGTTCTAAAGTGATTGGCGCTCACAAGGCTCATGGACAGAGGAACTGACGGACGGACGGACGAACGCCCTTGGTGATTCATATAAGCCCCCATAGTATTGCTTGCCGGGCAGAAGAATATTTTGCAATTATACTTTCATTTTTGTTTTGTTTTAATTGTTGTATCCAGTACGACTGTTTTGGCAAATTCACTGCGTTTGTTATGATGTAAGAAAATTTTGATCTGTAAATATATGACAATCGGCTCATGCATTGAACTGATATTGGAGTTTTTAGACAATATCGATACCGATATGATAAATGATGTTTACATGTTCAATTATATTTATTTTTATGTTGGTGTAAAATTGATGTTACATAATCAAACTAAGAGAAACAACTCCATTTTTTATGAACAGTGTATGAATCAATACAAATATAAATCAGGAATAAAAGGCCTAGGGGTTGTAAAAAGGAACAAAAATGATGAAATCTTTCATTCTTTGTACGTTCAATTTTCTTATTCAACCATCTTTTCCATTCCAATTCTGACACATCCATCGTTAATATTCCACACATCAAAAAAAAGTCTCACATTTTAAAAAACTTAGAAACGGTTCATGTTTTAACTTTATGGTTTTCGTCCCTCGTTAATTGCTTAGCAATCACTTAAACCAAGCAGATGGTTTGATTAAAGAACAATACCTACTATTGGGATTCGTTAAAATCAGTAACAAATTACTTCTCCCTATATTGTCTAAAACATATTTACACGAAGCCTCATTAATTTTATATAATCAGTTATATTAACACCTGTCCCTGATGAGAAATATAATGTATAGCTGCTTTGTGTATTCTGTTCAATAACTTATGAAATACACCAAGTCATTTACAGAAAAGTGATATTTCAATACTGAAGTTGTAATAAACATACTTAGTTTAAAATAAGCGTATAAAGGATGCTGTCCATGAAATACATTTGTTGTGATCTGCCAAAAAGCATAGATTATGATTAGTATATATATATATATATATATATCTTTTTTATTTAATAAATTTGTCTTTTTTACATTACAATTGTGAACCTTTAACCTTGGATCTGTTATCTCTTTGTTTAAGGCTGTTTATTCAGATATAATTTTATCAAAATGTTATTTAAAATGGTAGTTTTTGTTCGTAAATGGGTCATTTTCAAATTATGCCAATATTCCAGATTCAATTTGAAATTAAAAAAAAAGACTGTTATCTGAATCCAACTTTAATAGTATTACAATGAAATCTTCATCATTTACATTAACAATGGAAACTTGGAAATATCGTTTTAAAGCCAAATTAAATTAAACAACCGGTCATAACAAAAAGTAAAATAACACAAATACTGAACTCCAAGGAAAATTCAAAACGGAAAGTCCTTTATCAAATGGCAAAATCAAAAGCTCAAACACATCAAACGAATGGAAAACAACTGTCATATTCCTGACTTGGTATAGACATTTCCTTGTGTAGTAGATAGTGGATTAAACCTGGTTTAATAGGTATATTAACCCCTCACTTGTATGACCGTCCCATAGTATTCCAATGTCAACTACGTAACGATAGGAATTCTGCTTTCTTCTGGTACTAATAAATGCTATCTTTTAGCTAACACATAATGAGATAACTTTGCTTTTGCTTAATAATACGGTGATCATTTAATTTAGAGTAATCAAACATAAATTTCATTTCCTTGGTCGGTTTTTTTTTCTTTTGTTTATTTGTAACTTCAAAAATTACCAATAGTTGCACCAGCAAGTTTTTGTGATTGTTATTGCATACCACACATTATTTAACAATGCTTTGATGATGTCTTTCTAAAAGGTTATGATATACGTGCTTCAAATCGAAGAAATACAAAAAAGTATGTAGTGTTATGTAGCTAGCATTTGTGTTGCGTAGTTGACAGTATCGTAATGTGGGGGACCAAAAAAAGCAAATCTCGCTTTTACTAAAATCTAATTCAAAATAAACTGACTGACTACTTAAATTTTTTTTAAATGTTATTTGTTTTGTGATTTATATCTGCGACACATTCCTATTTGGCCAACTGTATCATAATTTCTTACTTAACAGATTCATTGACTTTGTAGTGTGAAGATGATCCTATGATTGGCTCTGGTGTTGAAATGACTCAAAGTATGTCGTTTATGTTGTACCAATTTTTATCAAGGACTTTCTTTGGCCAAGAGAAACAGTTGTATTTTAATCCTACTCTTTATACACATTAAAAAACACTGACTGGGCTTCAATGTCAACACTCTTGACGAATCCAGTGTTCGCTCGCCAATTATAAAAAATAAGTACGAGATTCCCGACACAGTCGTTGATATCAAC